ATCGAGCAGAGTCCTTGAGAAGGAAGCCAACAATACGGTAGGTACCGAGTGGTTGGGACGCATCAATCAGAAGGATGAAACATTTTTCAAAATTGACCTGTAAGCCTCATTTGATGGACCATTGGTGTAGTGGATCTAGCGGGTCATATAGTCTATCAGCGGCATTAAGTTAAGGCACCTAAAACCATAGCCTAGGACCGTCAGCAGAGATTATACATTTGTTTTTGAGTGTTACAGGAGGGTTATAAAGGAAGAGCTTGAGAACTTCAGGTCCAATTACAGGACTTGCGGAACCCCACTGGTCATGTGCACTGGCTGAGAAAATGTCTCGTTTGCTTTCACTTGCATGGTTTTCCCGTCCAGAAAATCCGCGATCCAGGTGTAAAGGTTGCCAATGGCAGCAATTTCGCGTGCTTGCAGAGTAGCCGTTGATGTAGGACCTTATCGAATGTTTTGCTAAAATCGACGAAGACAGTATTTAATCTTTGACCGGTATCGATTGATCATGTCAATTTCCCTCTCGCGACTACCAGGTTAGTGTTGCATGAGCGTCCTTTTTGAAAGCCATGCTGTGTGGATGTGATGCTCTATTCAATACAGTGATTCTGGAGGGCGCGTCTGATAATCTTTTCGTGCAGATCGTCGATGTTAAGCGCATATGGCGATAATTCACTGGAGCTTGAAGATTCCTAGATTTTAGGCTTTGATATCACGATATCTGTTTTCCAGTCGACAGGCAGACGGCCATTTTTCAGAGACAAATGGAAGACGGCATAATATGACTACTTCTTTTGCGGTACAATAGCTGGTTGTTAGCTCTCCGGAACGATGTCCATCCGTTAATGATGACAGCCGGCGTGCCTCTGTTATGTTTCTTTGTCTTTTGTATTGCGGCACAATAGCTAAGGTATCTTTCACCTGTAGCTAACGCGTATAATGACGATTCTATATTCCATAATGTTTTGTATCTGATCATTTCCTATCTTGTATTGCGGCCCAGTAGTTGAAGTGTTCCTCACCTTCAGCGAATGTGTGATGAGGATGACTTGGCTGATGGATGCAGGCACGTAGTCAGCCACTGTCGTGAGGAAAAGGGGATGAAACCTTCAGGGCTAGGTGATGAGTTTGGATCCAGCTCTAGTATAAGTTTTATAACACTTACCGTGAGTTCGATCTGATACAGACTATGGGAATGTTTATACGCATAGCCGTTGGGGTAAACTGAGTTTCCAGCGAGTATACCAAAGAGTAATGGTTTACCAGAAGATCCGTTTTCGCATCATCCGCGTAAAGTAGACAGTTCGTCGTATGAGATAACAAGGCAGGTATGCCACAGTCAGCTTTAGTCCTATTGTTGATGTACGCATATTTTGGACCCAGACCGAGATTCTTCGGCCAGATCCTATTCATGATGGTGCCTCATCTCATGATTCTTCAGAGAACAGAGCGTGGTATAATCCGAAACCAGTTGAGAGGCATTGAATCTTTCCCAAGGTTTTTTCCGCTGGTTCAGTAGAAGCATTAGTTCGAGATTAATCCAGGGAGGACCTATCACAAATCGCCACCGTTTGGTGTTTGAGACAATATGTTCAATCAACAAGTACATTTGCAAGCGTGAAAGATTCCAGGCACATTCTAGTTCTAGATCTTGCGGGACGTACCAGTTAAGCTTGCTAGCCGCATATTAGGTGAGATGGATCAGTGCGCTAAAAATTGGGGAGACGAAGTGTCGCGTTCAGGTGGAGATGAAGGCAGGATGATCGCTATGACCAACTGGGCCGGAGTGGCAAGCAATGACTGACTTGTTCCGCGGTAATCAACGCCCTTTTCTCTCTCCAGACGCTAAACTAACTTTCGAGAAGCCTAGAGATGCTCTCTCCAACATAGTGCTTCTCGCTCACTAAGACTCAACAGCACCCCTTTCTCTGACAATTGACGCATCAAACACCGCCGTCGGTGTAGTTCAACAACTCATCGACTATCGATGGATACCCCTAGGTTTCTTCACGAAACATTTGTAGCCTGCCGAATCATGCTACAGCACCTTCGGTAGGGAACTACTAGCAATCTACCGAGGAATCTAGCATTTTCGTCAATATCTCGAATGTCAACACTTTACAGTCTTCACTGACCACAAACAATTGATCTGCGCAATCAATGGCACGATAAACAAGTATTTTCCGCATGAGACTAGACACCTAGACTGTTTCTCAGTTCACAACAGAAGTACCTGTCATGGCAACAGTAGTTTCCTCTCTGCTGACCAGTCGTTCACTGATTTGTAAAAGAAGATAAGCATATTTACAGAAACAGGTGTAAACCATCAACTACGTTAGTAAAGAGGTTCAAAATGCCCGCCAGCGTTCTACTCGTCGTGCAGAAAAAGCCTGATGCTGTCAGCTAGCACTCTCTCCAATGACTACCTCGTTATCCGACGATATTTTTACACAATATTCTCTTTCAGTTGCTATACTGAATGCGGCCTTGTTTTGTAGACTCTTCGCATCAGGTACCACACTGGAAGAGATCCAGGGGACTCAAATCTGGTGACCGTTTTAGCAGAATGTGCAGGTGCACCATCCTGTGGCCACCAAATAGTACTACATACGCATTCGGCTGTCAGCAATGGAAACACGCAGATCTGCAGCAAATCTAGGAAGGATGCTAGGAAAAGTAAGGATTTAGTAGGTCAAAACAACGTACAGGTCATACTAAGTGAAAAGAAACATGGTCCCCCAATTATATCATTCGTAAAGCAAGCACAAAACAAAATGTCAACGCTGTGGTACATATATAAGCCGGAAAAACATCATTCCACTATTTGGTTTGCTCTGCATACCTGAATAATTTTCTATTAACTGACCACGTTGCTTACGCTAACTGCGCTTGTCTTCGGTAACTTTGTTGCGTTTGCAGCATTTTTAGGTGTACATTTTGTGTGTGTAAATTCCTCCGTTATCGCGAATTCGCTGCTAACCAACTTATTTCATGTGCCAATTTAGCGAAGTTTTGCCACCGTACCTGTATGCATTATTGGACTTATTTTATCGCATTTTGTCGTTTCAAATGATTGGCAGTTGCTTGATATCCCCGGTGTCGTTGCGCTTGATGTGCATGTTGACAAGGTGCCTACCTGTAGATTACCCACTACTGCGACAATACTGGCTCCAAGAGACAGTTGGGCATTGTTGGAGAGGACGGGGTGCACGGTGTCGTGGAAGTGCTGGGCTCGAAGAATGGTTCCATACAAACAGTGTGGAGCGGACTACGGTCCAGCGACCGCCCAGTGGGCGCTTGATTCCCCAAATAGAGTGCGCTTGTGTTTGCCAGTGAAGAATTGTAGGCCGGCTCCGTTGATGAAACATGTCTCCCGGCATTATTTCTACAAAATGTAAAGTATCAAAATAAGAAGGCCTAGCAATGGAATTACCGCAAATTTCAAGTATACACATTATTTAGGTATGTACCCTTGCGTTCCGGCATCTTGGCTTAAATCATGTAATGTAGGTTGTGGAATGCATCATATATATATATATATATATATATATATATATATATATATATATATATATATATATATATATATATATATATAGGGCGGGAGAGCCTGTAGAGCGCTGAGGCTGGTGGTGGCTAGATCTTGACAAATGGTCTACCCATTGCTGCTACTGTTGTGCCATGGGCTCATGTCCTGGACACCTTGTGGCGACCGCTGGGTTACGCCCTTCTCCCTGCTAAGATCCAGGACACCAATCGCCATGAGTCAGTGAACTGACCATGTGCTAGACTCGCTGCTTTTCGGGTGTACATTTAATCGAAGGCTTTGGCTGAGGACCCCAGTCGTTCTTCTGACAGGTGTGGGCGCAGTGCCAGTATCCTAGTCCATTGTCTTGGGAGGTTAGGAAGCGGGCGATGGCCCCCTCCCCGTGAAACCTATCCAATGGAGACAACTGGCCTACGGTTTATAAGTTCACAGCTCGATTGGCGTAGAACACGAGCGCCACTCATTGTCTCTGACGGTGGGAGGGCACCTCCGGGTGCTCAATGATTTGTTACTGCCCGCCCCAAGCCAGGCAGCCCCTGGTTAAATTAATGCAAATCCGCCAAAACCCACCTGCGTCCGACCGTGGTCGCAGGTGCGTATCCTACTACGGTGGCAAAACATATATGAATCGCTCCAGTACATCAAAGGCTGCGTGTGACGGACCTCAAGCAGATCGCAATCTGTCTATGCGAACACATTCCCGAGCTTGATCTGCTCCACACTGCTTTGTGGGTCAGACTATTGAGCACACTACTGGACCGGAACTCGAATGAACGCCCCGAGCGATGCAATGCATTGGTCGCGATGGAACTAGCGTGCTCAGAGAGAGTCGGATCGCTGAAAAAGGTAAGTTGCATGAAGCAGGTGCTGGCTACGGGTTCTACTCGGCGGGCAATGCCACCTCACCACCACGTGAACATGGGGTTGGACTTGCAATATCCAATCGCCTAGATGGCCAGCTGGTGGGTGAACCAACAGGCATCAGCGCGCGATTGATGCCTTTTCGCCTACGACTAGGAAGAGGTAAGTTTGCACGCACAGTCCGACCATGTGTTATCCTGATGACAAGCGTGATCAATTCTACCCTCAGTCATCCTCCGTGACACGGTCTGTGCTGATGATCGACCGATTATTTCTGCTCGGTAATTTCAATGTTCGCCTTAGGCGTGATGCGTCAGTGTGGGCACATGTCATCGGTCCGCATGGCATTGGTCCAGCGAATGTGAACCGTTACAGGCTGCTCTCACTGTGTGCCACTCACGGCCTGACGATCAGTAACACTCAGTTTCCACTTAATGCAGTACATGTGTCATGCGCACTTCACGCATATCACGCTGACGCACGATCACATAGTCGAACAGTTGAGCGTCCAAGTTGATATATCACTCGCATTAAGTGGAAACTATTGAAAAGTTGATGCTAAACAAAAAAAATGTCAATCGAAGAGCACGTCAGAGGTAACCAGTGCAACTGCGTACAGACAGCTCTCGATGAAAAATTTTCCTGAGGGCCACCGAGGACAAAAAGCATTTACATCAGATCGCACACATTTCTGGACACAGTAAAATCCAAGTGAATTACTATTTCCACCAGTTCAAAAATGACCAGAGGAAATCCACAGTTGAGAATACATAAACAAAACTTGCGATCAGACGCACAAACATATGCCACCCTAAATGGTGTATCTTCAAATTTGGAAATTTGAGTGAGAACAAAACGAACAGGGAAGAATTCGAGAGAATTAAATGATGAGCATCAAATTGGTTGCTTCTGCCTCTGTCGAAGGTATAAATCTGTACATGGGTTCACCGGAATCGGCTGAACCTCGTTGAGAATGAAACAGTCTGCAGGTGAATGCTAGCAAGGGCGCTGTCGGCTAATCAGAGCTCTGCACAGTGTAAAATTGTTTGGAACAAAATACACAGGAAAAAACGAGAATATGTACAACCATATCGCAGATAGGCAATGGAACAAGTGGATTTGACCTCAGACTGAAGACTGGTGTGCATGTAACCACAGATTGAAGGCCTGGCGGCATTCAGAAACGAGACACTCCGTGGAACAGAACTGGCCGTCCCATCGAGGGTCGTCTGTAATTGCAGGTTTTGTGCAATAGCACAAGCGTGGAGGCGAGGACTCTTGAGAAGGAATAGGAATGGGGGTTGGTGGAGACGAACTAGAGACCAGAGGAGAAGCCGGTTGTTGCACCGTTGCTCTAGAGGAGACGAAGGTGGATAGAGGGACATTGTCGTCTTCATCCTCACTATCGTCGTCCACGGAAGGCTGCAGGATTTTGCGCCCGTCATGGTTCACCGAAGGAAGCTGTGACAATCGTAAAGGATGGACGGTCATGTTGAAACATCAGACATCAGATAAACATAAGAATAGATAGAGAAAAAATCTTACATTATCCCGCCAATTATCAAAGACTAGTGCTGTGTCATCAGGAAATATTGATCGCCATTGCTCGCACAGAAAATGAGCCGTGTAAATCTTTCGTCACTTGAGGCGATGAAGGACGGGACTTCTTGTAGATATTGTATCAAATGTTTTTTCTTGGAAAGAGTGATCTGGTTTCCTTGATAGAAAATACCACCATCAATCAATGCGACACACAATGCTGGGTAATCGTTTTCGCCTAAGACGTAAATGAGATGTTGAGCTGCAACCCCAACTGATTCTCCAAGACAAATTCAGCATTTCCTCCCCCAGGTGGGGTAATGGAAACTATAGCTACAGACAAAAATGACAGTCCTTCTCATTAGATAAAAACCAGCGAAGTGGGAGGCAGAAGATAACTGGTTCTTCATAATGAATGCGGATGGGAGATATCGAGTCTATGACGTAAATGTGGGACGACGATGCAATGTGGACAACGGACCATGACGCAAAAGCGTTCCTGATGCTTAAGGTTTTGATGATTTTCGGGTAGTTAATCACGTAATCGCAATAATACCAGAGCAAGTGAATACACACGTATGAGCCAAAGCTAGTCTGTGCAAATCAATTCCATTCCACTTAGGAAGAATCTAAAAGATAGCAGCAGTTAAGTCAAGAAAAGCTTTTCATACACCAGTGTGGGAGCATTTTTAGCAATGAACACTGACAATGCGGACAAACTACAAGACAAAATCGGTGGGAAAATGTTGTGAATTGACACTAACAACAAAATGAGTTCATTTTTAAGCTAGCAAATGTTCTCGCAATTGTTGCACCTCACTCTTGGGTAGACTAACAAGAGAGACAGAGAAGGCAGAATGATGTTGCGACACGAAGATGTACGGGAAAACAAAACTCTAAATTTCGACGGCGTTAAAGAAATGGATTCCGAACTAGCTAAAACGGCGTGTAGGGGGTGAGAGGGGGCTTTTAGAATGTTGGATGCGAAGTTAATGCATGCATCAAAATGGTTGCTGGTCACTACACAGTGTCGCTGACAACTTTTCGAGGAGACGAACAAGACACAAGTGGAACCAATGGACCGAGTATATGCTCGTCTACCACGATACCATGAAGCCGAACGACCGCACAGGTTCAGTAAGATTTGTGTGACATTCTGAGGTTCTAACTCACACAGTTTAGCGAACAGAGCGGATGGACGATTAACACCGCTCAGTTGTTGTGGAGTTCTCCGAACTGGGCAACTTGGTTGCACACGTTTCGCCACCATTCGAGGTGGCATCTTCAGTGCGTGATTGGTAGCAGTTAAGTAGCAGTAGCTGGTAGAAAGCAAACCCAATAATGGATACTGTCAGCAACCACTCCGTTCCGATGAACCATCCACAGGCATGGACAATTGCGCGACAATTCGGAAAGCGTATGGTACGAATGATGACCACAGACGCCCAAAACCGTATCCGAAAATATGAACGTTGTCTAAACGAACATCGAACCAATTGTGTACAAACAATTGGGCAACAACTGACTGAACGAGTGCAACTCGCAATAGAGCGCAGAGCTAAAAATACAAAAGCAAGAAAAGCAGACTGCGCTTCACCAGAAGTTGACTAAACTGACAACCAGCACAGACGAATGCATCAACAATGGTTGGATCAGGGACCTGTCAAAACGGCCACTCAGTGGTACGGAACAACAAATTCTCATCAAAGGCCTAAATTATAACTACAAAGATGCGACAACTACGGATTTTCTGGCACGGCCTCGATCTAATATATCAACCGCTGAGACAGAGAGAGTTCAAGAGGATCAACAACCGTTGTCCGAAAGAACCTAATTCAGCACACGGACAATGAACAGCATGGTCAATGAGCCCAGACTACTCACCCACACCTGTCGCACCAATCCGAGTGCGATAATACCAACCACGTCGCAACAAAATTTCCGCAGCCAATGACAATGACTCGAGCACAACCGCTGAACACAAGGATTTACGAATGAGAAGGAGGCAAAATTAATAGCCCCGTATGCCTATACAAGGAACGGAGTGGTTGCTGACAGTATCCATTATTGGGTTTGCGTTCTACCAGCTACTGCTACTTAACTGCTGTCAAGCACGCACTGAAGATGCCACCTCGAACGGTGGCGAAACGTCTGAAACCAAGTTGCCCAGCTCGGAGAACTCCACAACAACTGAGCAAGCCTCCCGAGCAACCAATATTCCAAATCATTTCGATTAATATCGCGAGCATCACATTCGGTGCAGAAGCTGCGTGTTGAGCGGACCGCCGAAGAATTCGAGCGTCGTGCATGCGCGTGAGGAGCGGGGCTAAGGCTGCATATACACTTACCTCAGTTTCATTAAATTTATAATGTTACGTTCAGTTCCTTAATGAGCTTTGACGTAGTTAGTATGCCGCAAATACTGTATCCAGGTTACTGAGTAGGCGAGAGAGTCTGCACGTTATAGCCTGTAATGGTGAGATCCTGACACCAATGATCCACTTCTGTCAACCTGCTGCAGTCTCATGTCTTTGATGCCTCATCGTGGCGAATGCTCGGTGACAGTAGGGTTATACCTTCTAATAGCTAAGACCCGAGACACATCTGCATGAGTCGACTGTCAAAGTTCATTTCCTGTCACCCGTTTCGGGAGTACGTTATATCAAAGACATTAAGTGAGGAACCTGGTAGTTATTATTATTAGATGTGGATGCCCCAGTAGTACATCAGTCCAGCAACAAAGTAAGCATAACACAGACATGAATATTACGCTGCATCGGCCGTCGCGCAGTGGGGAGAAGAGTCACCTCACTAGCTTTACACAGTGGGGTGGATAAGCCAGAACATGCTACTGCATATATATTTTTGCAACAGTCTATGAATAGACATTGCACCATCGGAAACCATGGAACTCAAAACAAGGTACAGAAATAGTAAAAGAAAACACAACACAACACAACAATGTCCACGGTTTCGTCAGAGGGCGAAATACTACCCGGTTGCCCAAGCCGAAGTAGCATGGGCTTATCTTACTTCGCTTTCCCCACATCCTGGACATTTTCACCTCAGTCTCCAGCTAGCCCGTAGTCTAAAGGTAACGAGCTTGTCTCGCAAGCTGACGGCGCGGGTTCGAGCTTGCGTAAGGGCAGGGTGACCATCGCAGCATTCTTAGTTCACGTGCGACTGATGGTGGTTGTGCAGCAGCGAAGCGTCCGTACTGCGTTCCGATGATGCCTTTATTCTTTTTTTCTCCTAGTCTCCATTTCACCTGACTTACGCTAGCAGTCTCAAGTCCAAGCTAAACCCCTCGCCTCAGCGATTACTCGGCACGATTGTATGCCTCCGCGCAGAGCGCTCAACATCGGATGTTGGAACATGCGCACTCTTTGATCGGAATATGGGTCAGTGCCGCACGACATACACTGCACTAGTCGCGATGGAACCCGGGCGCCACGGCATTAATATTGCCGCACTCAGCGAAACGCTAGTCGTTGATCAAAGCAAACGGCACGAGGATGTTGCTGGCTACACATTCCACTACGAAGGAAACGCAACCACAGCACTGCGTGAACATGGAGTCGGGTTTGAGATGTCACAGTTTAAATAGCCATCGAATAGAATAGCCGACTGGCATCAGCCCAAGGATGATGACACCCGCCTACGCATCGGAAGCGGTAAGATTGCAACTGTCATTAGTACGTGTGTCATTCAGATAACACAAAGAACCCATTTTACTCTCAAACGTGGTCCATGATACAGTCCGTGTCGCGGAGCGAACAGCTATGTCTACTGGATGACTTGAACGCACGAGTTGGGCGTGATGTCGCTATGTGGTAAGACGTAATCGGTCCACATGGTATTGGCTCATCCACTGGGAACGGTGACTACCTGTTCTCACTGTAAACCACTCATAACCAGATAAGCCAAAAAACAGGGCGAACTGGAGTCCAGTGATATTGTAACTTCGAAGCACTCTCTAAGTGGTCCCGCTCATATGCTCGAGTTGTCATCAAAACGAGCGTGACATGCGTGAAGTGCGCATGACACGTGTACTGCGTGGAACTGACAGTGGAACCGACCACAAGTTGGTGCGAGTCAAACTGAACGTATATTTTCATAAATCTCCATAGTAACAGTGAGAAGAGGATTGAAATGATGGATGCGATAGCTACCGGCCTTGGTGGTGTCGACTACACTGCTTCAGTCAACGACCTAAGGCGCCATTTCAAGGAACAGAAAACCATCCCTGCTGAGAAAATGATTGGGTGTGCAAACTGTAAGCGTCTGGATTGGTTCGATGACAACAGCGAGACTACTGGCGCATGCATTTTTCCCCATCCAAGTGCAAAGCCCTTTTTCAAGACTGGTAGATGTCTTTACCTCTTCGTGGTAAAACTCCGGAGGTCGTGGATAATTTTGTTGATCTGTGCCGGCAGTCTGTCTTCGACCACCGTTGCTTACAGTTCATTGCCCGTGAGTGGTGGCTGCACAACGTAACCAATGTAGAAATTGGACAGCGTATCTTAGTGGGAAGCAGCCACTCGCTCGCTGTGTTAATTGCAGTGGTCTGGACACGTTTTGTGCATGTTCGCTCAGCGTGTTCCTCTACATGCGCTGTATCATTTGACCCATCGCAATGAGGCTGGACCTTACCGTGGTGCGGAGATCTGCGTGCCTCAGCGATCCCATTGGTTGTGCTGGGTGGTGCTTTTCGAATCTTCAGAGTCACTAATACCAGACTGGTCAATGGTTAGAGGTCAGACAAACTCAGCCTCCTGGTTCCCCAGGTTGGGTGTTGGAGTGAGGGTGGCTGCTTATACCTAAAAACGGACTCCATGTAGCTCACCGCCAAATGCGCTGCCTTGCGATCAGGTTACTGAACCATAGGCTTTGGTTAAAATCCTAATCGTTCTTCTATCTAGGCCTGGGCAACCTGAAAGTATCCTGCCTACGCAATGAAATAATAATTTCTTCTAGCGATTTCTTGATGCTCTGACCATCGCAGAGGATAATCAACGGCGCTCTAGCTGCTGCACCGAGCAAAGTGGTTAGGTGTTTGGATGCTATTTAATAAACCCTCTGGTCTTCTTAATCCCCAGCTTACGCTTTTTCATCCTTATCGGCCCGTTCCAAATGCAGTTTTATCCCTCCCGTATTCAACCCCAATCCTTGGCCCTCTCCCACCTGTCATTCATAGGCGTTTATCTTCCAGTCTCAACGCGAAGCTTCACTCCTTTCCTATTGACAAGCCCGTGCCCAACTAAGCGGACATGCCCGGCTCATCGGCTACTATTTAGAACCCCTGATCCTCCTTCAGATTGGCATGCCCCAACGTACGTACATTAGTAAAGATCTGTCAACAGGCAGCACTTGCCCGAACATTGGAGACCCTCTCGATCGATATCTGCTGCCTGTCGGAAACCCGTCTGCATGACCCGAACTCTGTGTTCGCTCTACGAACCCCTTCAGGTGACACTTGCAGTGCTTTATCACTGCGTCTATCCGGAAATAATGCAGCTTCGAGCGTCGGCCAAGCCGGTATGGGTATCGCTCCGAGTCGCCGGGCTGAAGCTGCTCTGATTGATTGCATTCCAATCAGTAGGGGGATGTGTGCGATCCGACTGTCTGTCTCGCTCAAAGTATCGAAGTCGCGCTGCCTACGCGTCCATAAACTGCAGCGATGATTCGGTGAAAGATGACTTCCATCGTCAACTGAACAAGCTCCTTCATGCCAGAAAAAACACGGACACTGTAGTGTTTGTTGAGGATTTGAACGCTGAAGTTGGAAAACTGTTCACCGATGAGCTGCATCTGGACGGCCAGCACGGTGTAGGCTCTCGTAATGATAATGGTGAGCGGTTATCCCATTTGTGTGAAGATGCTCGCCTACTTCTTGTGAGCATTAACTTCCGATACAGCACCCGCTGGAGGGTGACATGGCGCCCACTAGCCTTAGACTAGTCACGGAGGTAAATCGATCACAACGCGATCAGTTACCGCCTGAGAAACTGCGACTAAAACTGTCGCTCGATTTGGAGCACATGTGTGGACATTGACCATGCAGTTGTATGTGATGATTTGCGGGTGTGTGTTGGTGAACACCCGCGACGACGCTGTGAGCATATAGACAACACCCAACTGATGAAGCCAGATGTTCTGAATGCGTATTGAAGTACGTTAACATTCGAGTTGAGTAAGCGCTCACTGATCACAGCTGAAGATCACTGGTCGCATGTTCACCAAGGCTTAATAGCAGCAGACAAATCTACACGTGATAAATCTAATAGCCAACATGGACATTGGGTCTCTATGATCTCTCGATACTAGCCAAGACATTCCGAATGGAAACGAATATAGTGCGATTCACAAAGACCTCAGGGCAAAACTGTGTGCTAGTTTGAAAAGAGACCACGTATCCATGTGGTCTAATCGTGCGCCAGAGTTAGAAGTTGCCGCTGGACAGCTAATCTACAACATGTCAAAACGCTTGGAGCGTTGGGTTGAGTACTTTGGAAGGCAATTTATTCGACCGGAATTGTCAGATTACTCGCCGGCCAATGAGCGCTCTTCTTCCTAGACTGTGCATTTGGATCCGCCCTCTCGCTCAGAAGTAACCTAAGATCTGAATGCTCATGTTGCATAAAGCCGTGGGAATAGATAAGCTACATCCAGCCCGCTTCAAATTTGGGTGAATTCCAAGTGTGGATGACGTACACCAGTTATCAGTGCAACTGTGGGAGTAGAAAACTGTCCTAACCGAGTGCAGTCGCTGCGTTATTTTCCTGAGCTTCAAGGGAGTCTCACGCTCGGAACGCGACAAATATAAAGGAATCAGTCTAATCTCCATCGGTTCCAAATTGCTTGTCTCTGTCATCCTTCACAGACTGACTGGCATTCGTAAAAACCAGATACGTGAGAAGCAAGCCGGCTATCGTCGACGTCGCGGCTGCATCGATCGCATTTCCACTTTGCGCCAATTGTTGGAGCACCGTCACATATATTGGTGGCTCCCCGATGTCGTGTTCCTCGACATCGAAGGTGTCTTCGATTAGGTGAATTGATGTGTTCTGCGAGATTGTCTGCTAAGGAAATGTGTGCCACAGAAATACGCAAATATTATCCGATCGCTATACGCACGTAGCTCGGGCAGAGTGAGGGGTTACGGTAAGCTATTGTCGCCCTTTAATATCTTCAGTGGTGTGAGACAACGATGCTCGCTGTTATCTTTCCTGTTCACCTTCGCTACAGACGAAGTCATGGAAATTGCGTTCACAGGACATGAGGAGCTGCTCCGACGTGAAGGATTTCTTGAGTTGGAGTACGCCAACGACATTGTCCTTATCTATGACAGCGCACAAACGCGACAAGCTACACTGGACAAATCAACACTGGCTGTCAGCCGTTTCCGGCTTTTCTTCGCACCTCTGAAATGCAAAGTTTTTCCCCAAGATTGGACCCATTCCTGCGCTGACCTTTGGTAGAGATTAGCTAGAAGTCGTTAAAAGATTCAACTGCCTACGCAGTTGTATCAGCGCTATTAGGATCAAAGACGAGGTCACAAACCGTTTAACAAAAGTTTGAGGCGCGACATCAACGTCTCTCTGAAGGGTAGACTTGACAATGCAGACCTACGTCCGACCCCACTGTACGGTTGTGAAAGCTGGTGCATTAGATCGTCAAACGTAAAGAGGCTAATTACGTTCGACTAACGGTGGCTTCGCAGTATGGCTGAGATCTGTTGGCAACACCGTGTGAGCAATGAGCGTGTCTGGCGCCATGTTTAAGGCATTGGATGAGGATTGAACCGTTCAGCACCGTTATTTCGCGCACCAGACTCCGATGGCGAGGCCACGTGTTGCGCATACCAGCACTCCGACTCCCCCGACATACGTCATTTGCGCAAAGCGAAGGTGGATGGAAAAAGCGGAGGGGAGGCCAAGCGAAGACTTGGTCAAGACGAATGAAGTCCGCCATCTGGAACTTGGCGTCGGTTGATATCTTCCGACTGACGTGCTGGGGACCGAAGTACGATGAACGCGTTAGGCTGGATAAACTTGTTGACATGGGTATGAGCCAATCACAGTAGTGTTTGGGTTGTGAGTTTCTTTGTCCCCCACTTCCCGCCTAATCTCCCTCTCCAACTACGGTCTCATTTACTGGGTAGAACGTAGCTTTTCAATGGCATAATAGCCGGCTATTACCATTCCGGAGCGATGTCCTTCCGCTACTGGGGGCGCAGCTGGCGTGCCTGTGTTGCATGTATTTTTTCTTTTCTCATGTATTGCGGCACAACAGCTGAGATGCACACCATTTCTATTTAACAGGTATAATGATGAGAATGATGATGTATCAATGGGGGAAAACAGTGCAAGGAGTTTGTCGACAAGCTAACAAGAACTTAGAGTAAAAAGCAAATGCGGGAACAAAACGGTCATTTCGGAACTGGCCCGTCACTATGTAGAGTACATCGAGAGTGGCAATCGAAGAAAGTAAACATAAGCCGCGCACATCCACAAATGCACTAAGATAACAATGGAAAACAGATAAGAAGGCATAATCAGGGGTATCAAGTTAACAATACGTGCGGTCGATCCACAGAAGACATACTTGGACGACTTCAATCACAATGGCGCGGTCTAGCTTCTCGATGTCCGGTTGTAAGTTACCACCATTGACAAATGGGTGCTTGTCAACTCGCTTCAAGTGTAAAAGTGAAAAACAAATGCAGTGAGAACCAGAACAAGATACAGCTAATGAGGTAGATTAGCCGTTTAACTACAACATGAACTACATAAAAGCACAGGGAGCATTCAAGACAGCCCATGAAAGAACGTAAATTGGAGAGCTTACGGTAAATGCGAAGATACAATCCAGTTAAATTAATTAGTTGATAAACGATTCGGAAAACGGTAGAACAATTGTCATCAAGACCGTAAAGAATACCAGAGGATGCTCAATAAACAACTGGAAAATAGGGATACTCAAGAAAACCTAAATGTCCTGCATATCCAAGGGCAGGAACTAGCAAGAACGATATTCGTGGCGTTGATGAAAAGACTGGAAAGATGTCAGGATGGGTTTTCAGCAACATGACGGAACAGACTAGCCGAAGTAAACACTAGTGGCAGGTGAGTCTGGAAGAACAGAGACGGACTTCCGTCCCTCAGTGGCTGAAAGTCCGGTTCAGCTTAACAACCAAAATCTGTGATTTAACACACCAAGTCAAAAAAATGAAGAGGATAAGGTCATGACTGGTTCTCCGAGCTGGGTAATTCAATAGTAAACGTTTCACCGCTTCGTTCAGTGGCATCTCCAGTGCACCGCTGCGTAGAGGGAAATTTCATGAAAATTGTCGTCGGGACGTAGCGTCAGAAATTGATCTCGTCGACCTGTGTCCCGTGACCTCTGTTCGATTTTCCGAAGCCCAGTTTCACACTGTAGGTACACACGATCGAGGTCAATGCGGAGGTTCACTGAATTCTCCGCACAGAACCATGCCTCCAGAAATTCCCTTGCTTTTATAGTCCCTCCGTGCGTCAGAATTTACATGCTGTCATAGTTAACGTTGTGTCCTTCCTCATCGAGTTGCGCAGAGGTTTGTGACGATGCCTAATGGAATCGACAAGCATGCCTGTGCTCCTGGATTCTTGTGGATAGTTTTCTCCGCGTTTGAGACATAGTCATTCTAACAGTTCAAGCATTATAGCCTGTATACCACATTTCGGTGTTTGTGCCCTCCAGTTTCCCTTTATATCTAGACAAGATTCCCTTCAAAATCGCAGTAGGTATATGAGTTATCATCAGGTTGTGCGGGTTGATGATTATGGCTGTTTTTCCCGATACGTTTTTTATGTACGGTGCATCTCGCCGTTGTTGATGCAGATGCGGTAGTTGTTCTCCTTCGGTTTAGGTGTCTTCGGATAAAATTGCGTGGGTAGACGTTGCGAAAGAAACACTTAAACAGATGTTCCAATTCCTTTCGTTTCGTTTCCGCAGTATTGCAATGTGATTCCATCGTACGAAATAGGGTCCGTATACAGCTTATTTTGTGACACTTAGGGTGATTGCTGTTGAAGTTCAGGAGTTGGTCGGTGCGTGTTGCTTTTCTGTAAACGGATGTTTGTAATTTGCCTTCTACTGTTCTGGTAACCAGCACATGCAAAAAGGTAGTTGGTTTTCCACCTCTTCTTCCATGGTGAAACGAATACTTTCCATTGCATTGTTAAGTAGGCCTTGTGCGGTCTGTAGCTGACTACGCTTGGGAATCAAAAACCTATCGCACGCATAATTTCGGACTAATGACTGGGAGTGGATCCTCTTCCAACCTCTGCATGACGACCTTCGCAATAAGTCCAGATATGGGGGATCCCATTGGAGCTCCTCTCATTTGCTCGTAAAACACTCCGTTGAATTTGAAGTAGGTGGTGAGACACAAGTCGAGGAGCTTACATATGCTTTCAGTTGTCAGATTCCCAGTCGTTTGTCCTCCACTGATCAGACGTTCTCTGATATTTTCTTTCGCTATCTGTAACTTGATAGAGGCGAAAAGTGCGATGACCTCAAAGGATGCCATCACTTCATGGTCTATTCGCATGCATGTGAGCCTTTCCATAATTCGTTACCCAAGTTGTAAGTTGATGTACGTGGGAGTGATACTATTGGTCGCAGCGGTGCACCCTCTTTGTGTACTTTCGGAAGCCCGTAAAACTGTGCGGTGATTGGATCACGAACTTTCGTTGTATCATACTCTCCCTTTGTGACTTCATTTAAATCTTGAAGTCTCGTAAGTGTCTTATTCACATTATTTGTCAACCGTACTGTTGAAGCGTTCTCCATGCGTCGACAGGTTGTTGTGTCGGCTAGGAGATGAATTGTCCTTTCAATATAATCAGTTTTGTCCCTTATGACAGTCGTACGTCCCTTGTCCGCAGTCAAGATTACGATGGTTTCGTCGGCCTTCAAGCATTTAAGGGCACTCTTCTCTTGTTGCGAAAGAGTTGTGTTGTTTGTTGTGTGCTAGAATCGGAACGAGGGCATGCCTTATTTATGTATCATCACAGAGATCAGCGCATATCGATGAGGAAGGACACTACGTTAACTGGGACAGCAAAGAAGTTCGGGAGCTCGGAGGGACAATATAAAAGGATATGGCTCTTTACGGAGAATTCAGTGAACCGCCGTATTGACCTCGATCCTGTGTACCTCCAGATGAGAAGACGTAAACATGGGCTGCCGAAAATCGAACGAACAGAGGTCACGTGGCACAGGTTAACGAGGCCAATTTAAAACAGTACGTCCCGACGACACTTTCTGTGAGATTATCCTCTACGCATCTGTGCATTGAAGATACCACTGAACGAAGTGGTGAAACGTTTACCATTAAATTACTCAGCTCGGAGAACCAATCAAAACGTCAATTACCAAGCCGAGCTACAGGTATTTCGAATCCTTGCAAACAATCAGGGGCGCTCAACGCTCCGATCTGCTCGTCGTTGGGAAGAACTTGTCTGCCGAAAAGCCTCCACACGGGAACAGTTATCCTTCCTATTTGAATGCCTACGAAATGACATTCTCCCCAGAAGTGTCTACTACAAGCCTCCGATAAACCATCCGCAAGCATGGGCAGTTGCAAGGCAGTTTGGAAAGCGCATGGTAAGGATGATGATCACTGACGCACACAACCGGAACTAGAAAAATGAATGATTTCTTAAGGAACATGCCTTGAAACAGTCGGCCAACAAATGACAAAACAGCTAGACCTAGTGATTGAACGCAAAAGAGCAATTGCAAAAGCGACAAAGCTGGCCGCGCTTCGAGAAAAGTTGTCCAAATTGTCCGGTTTGAAGTGCATAGATGTCAACGATGGTTGGGTCACGAACCTGTCCAACCGGGCGCTTAGTGACGTTGAACGACAAGTCATCATCAAGGGACTTACCTACAACTTCAAGGATGCTGGGACCACGGAGTTCCTCGACGAATTCGAAAATACCTTACAATATAATAAACTTAACGAAGAGACCAAAACACAAGTCATGCCGTCGTTCCGATTCTAGCACACAACAAACAACACAACTCTTTCGCAACAAGAGAAGAGTGCCCTTAAATGCTTGAAGGCCGACGAAACCATCGTAATCTTGACTGCGGACAAGGGACGTACGACTGTCATAAGGGACAAAACTGATTATATTGAAAGGACAATTCATCTCCTAGCCGACACAACAACCTGTCGACGCATGGAGAACGCTTCAACAGTACGGTTGACAAATAATGTGAATAAGACACTTACGAGACTTCAAGATTTAAATGAAGTCACAAAGGGAGAGTATGATACAACGAAAGTTCGTGATCCAATCACCGCACAGTTTTACGGGCTTCCGAAAGTACACAAAGAGGGTGCACCGCTGCGACCAATAGTATCACTCCCACGTACACCAACTTACAACTTGGGTAACGAATTATGGAAAGGCTCACATGCATGCGAATAGACCATGAAGTGATGGCATCCTTTGAGGTCATCGCACTTTTCGCCTCTATCAAGTTACAGATAGCGAAAGAAAATATCAGAGAACGTCTGATCAGTGGAGGACAAACGACTGGGAAACTGACAACTGAAAGCATAAGTAAGCTCCTCGACTTGTGTCTCACCACCTACTTCAAATTCAACGGAGTGTTTTACGAACAAATGAGAGGATCTCCAATGGGATCCCCCATATCTGGACTTATTGCGAAGGTCGTCATGCAGAGGTTGGAAGAGGATTCACTCCCAGTCATTAGTCCGAAATTATGCGTGCGATAGGTTTTTGATTCCCAAGCGTAGTCAGCTACAGACCGCACAAGGCCTACTTAACAATGCAATGGAAAGTATTCGTTCCACCATGGAAGAAGAGGTGGAAAACCAACTACCTTTTCGCATGTGCTGGTTACCAGAACAGTAGAAGGCAAATTACAAACATCCGTTTACAGAAAAGCAACACACACCGACCAACTCCTGAACTTCAACAGCAATCACCCTAAGTGTCACAAAATAAGCTGTATACGGACCCTATTTCGTACGATGGAATCACATTGCAATACTGCGGAAACGAAACGAAAGGAATTGGAACATCTGTTTAAGTGTTTCATTCGCAACGTCTACCCATGCAATTTTATCCGAAGACACCTAAACCGAAGGAGAACAACTACCGCATCTGCATCAACAAACGGGAGAACAGCCCATTACACTTCTAGGGGGCGAAGCCCATTCGGTACTTAGATGTCTCAATCGCCAGACGGTTCAGAAGTGTTTTCATACTCCGCAATTCGTCACAAAGGAACTTGTTGTCATTAGCATAATCGTGGTCGCTTGGTCGTTCGTTTATCCGGCAGTAGCTGCAAACCAAATTTTTAGTAACCTTCCTTAGCTCTCGACAGGAAAAGTTCCAGCGCGGAATTGTAGGGAAACGGGGACATGGGGCAGTCCTATCGTAAACCGCTATTGAAAGTAAAGGATTAGGGAAGCTCGCTATAACCTTTTATTCCGGATACATGAAGGTAGAGTGCATGTGGGATGGCAGTATACTCTACTGGGACCCTGTTCCTTATTAAGCGACGCCACAATGCAGATCTATCAATCGAGTTGAGTATAGCATGAGTGTCTAAGAGGGCGAGGATGGTACGCCGTTGGTAAAAATAGCAGTTGTCGAGGATTCGGAGGAGCG